CACACACACACACACACACACACACACACACACACACACACACACACGAAGAAAATTGTTGTGTAATTTGTAATGTAATCTAGTACTGAAAACTCATTTCACTTCACACAAACAACATAAAGTTCATTGGATTTTATTGATGTACATCCATTTCGGTCGGACCTCAAAGACCCAGCGAAATGGACGATGCAGAAGTGGGAGGGGAGCGAGCTCCTGCGCTGGCGTGGCATAGAGGGAGGTTGGGCTCCGTTCATCTGCATGTACTGCAGTGACAGAGCCGGTTGAAAATCTGCAAACTTTCCTTTCCCCCTCATCCTCCTCCTGATCTAAAAAAAACAGGTGAGGGAGGTGTGTGTGCGTGGATCTGTAGCTAAACTCCAAGCCCACCCCCTTTTGAGCTGTCCAATCAAATGCGAAAGACTGAACTTAAATCCCTCTCGCAACTGTACACTGCTCGAATATTCCATTTCACTATCAATTCGTCAAAGTGCAGAAGCTTAAAACGCTGTGACTCTTGTTTCAAGAATATTGTCCATCAGTAATCCCACCAAACAATACAATCAGTGTACTACGAGTTAACGGGTTATAAATGGAAGGAAGGGAAAGTCCTTTCATTCATTACCTTTATGACCAGTGAATGAAATGTCTGCTCCCAAGAAACTTTTACAAAAAGCTAATTGTTTTGCCAAGTGAAATACTCCCATTCCAGTTGTTCAATGCAACATAGCAACAACCTGTGGCCTTACTTTATCCTTAAAACCATGATCATAGAAGTTAAGACATTTACTCTAAGGCAGGACTTTCTCCTCAGATGAAACTTAATCCATAATTCATACTGCGTGGGATGACAGTCGCATCAGATATTCCTTCTGAAGAAAACTTCAAGGCTGAAATCACAGTGCCAGACCATCCGAGTAAGATCTGCCCGATTGTGGATTTCTCATATGACCTTACAAAGTAAGGGGGAAAACCAGGCCACCTCCATCATTCCACGCTCACCTATGAGCCTGGAGAGCTCGCAGAGTCCCCAGGGGACGTAGACGGGCAGCACGGTGCCGTGGCTCTCCTGCAGGGCCAGGTTGGACAGGTGGTCGGAGAAGCGGCAGAGCTGCTGGGTGACGCTGGCGTTGCAGAGGTTCAGCATGATGTTGAGGCCCAGCGGCTTGAGGGACGGCAAGTGGCACTGCCAGGAGAGGTCGTCGAACTGGATGCTGGCTGGGTTCTGCTGGTCCTGCGACAGGCTCAGCATCTCCAGGTGGTAGTCGCACACAAAGTCGTCTGCCTCCGCCTCCGGGCAGCCCATCCCAAAGTCCTGGAGACAGACGGGGCAAACAACACAGCATGAGTCGTTAAGTCAAGTTAAGACGTTCCCTCTTCTTTCAGAACTATTCAATACACTTGTTTTTTTTTTGCCTGGTCATTGTCGCCTCCCTCGGTGTCGTGGCTGAAGCTCACGTTGGACCCCGAGTGGTGTTTGGTACGAGCGTGCGCAGACTGGCCGGAGCGCCGCAGCCGGGACGTGTCGGTGGAGTGGGCTGTGTCGTGTGACGTCTCGCTGGGCTCGGGGCCCTCCCCCAGCTGTGTGGAGGACTCTGCTGGCAGACAGAGCAGAGCTTCGGCCTCCTGGGCCTGTACAGCGGCGACACAACTAGTCAGCGATGGATACGATACTGCACATTATCAGCTGGGGAACTCCTGAATTTCAGTTGTCTCCAGTCAGTTTTTACTAAATTAAAATAACAACTCAAGCACAGTATCGCTTTCTCTTTTCAAACTTAACAATCCTTAGGCTGCTAGCGAGGCTAAAAAACGCCTGAGAAAACAAAAACACACACACACACCTCATCCCTGTCGTCATCTGTCTCCATTCGGCAGAAGGAGCTGACAGACAGGTCGTCTCCAAGATCGTCCTGGCTGATGTGAGGCGGCTCCACTCGTCCACTGAAGAACAGCACGGTCTCTGGACTGGGGTTAGGCCACGACAGGATGCCCTGCTTGTCCACACAACACAGCACCTACACACACACACACACACGCACACACAGAAGATTCACAACACACGTAAAATAGTTTGTGGATGTAGACGTATTAATAGTTTGTCCTTGGTCGTCGAGCAGCTACATTGTTGGAAATCCAACAGAACCCACTTTTAATGGGAACTAGCCGCAGTAGAAACATGTTGGGTTTGCATTAGCAGTAAACAGTGAGGCGGATATCAATGAGGTAAAATTACAAACGGTAATGCTGGAATCCTCGTGCATGTGGAGGCATTTTGAATACAGCGCCGGAATGGCGGACTCCACTTACAAGGTTATCTATTATATAGAGAGGTAATTGCAGAATGTGAACTGTGATAATTGTATTTATGGTTGGCATATGAACATTTAATGTTTGATTTCATGAAAATCGTTATATTATAACTTGAAGTATTGTTTTGTGCTAAACCGATCCACAGATCAAACAACATATAATTTTTCAAATTCCATGATCACCTCTATTGTACCGGGTGGTCAGAAATCTGAAGAGACAGACCTGGAGAAATAAATGCCAAACTAACTGCATAGCTAGATAGTAAGTTAGTGAGAAAATATGTTTTGTTTTGTCAAGCAGGACAATTAACCCTTTAAGCTTAGCAACTGTATAGCTCTGAACGGGGACCAGCAGAATTTGGAAAAACATCCTTTTGTGATTATACTTGGTACAACCTTATGGTGCTAAATGTACACAATCAATGTGGACCTGGTGTTAAGGTTACATGAAATAATCCCAAGTGAAAATTTTCAATCAGATATTTTCCCCAAATCTCACCCATAATACTCACAGTGACAGATCCCAGAGTGTGTAAAAGGCTGGAAGTATAACAGAGTGTCTGAGACTCTCCCTTCAGGACGCCAACCAGGTGTCTCCACACACAACGCAGCAACTCCTGCACGCACACACACACACACACACACACACACACACACACACGTAAAAATTAAGTTAGAAAACTGCTTTCTACAACATAGTACAGGAAATGGAAATTGAACAGTCATAAATATAGTGATTCAGTTTTGAAAATGAACAATTAAAAAAATTGCAAAAACAAGCAAATTGAGTAAACAGCTGAGCCTAAAAGCCCCACAGCAGCTGTAAAACAAAGAAGCCCGAGTGAGCTCTGTGATCGGGCTGTAAAGAAAGAAAGAGGAGAAAGATTCTATACTACAACGCTAGAGGCAAAGGCGAGGAGGTGAAGCCTAGTGCAAGATGCAGCATTTTGTGAGCGGATCCATGCAGATTTCGATTCTTTTGGGTGGAATCCAAGAGGACTGGTTCAGCGAGGGACAAACTGAAAACAATCACAAATGGCCCTTCCTTGCCTCCTCTCTTTAGCAGACGTCCTCTAAAATGAGCTATCCGCCTCTCTGGCCAAGGGCTGGTAACTAAGGAAACATGTACATAGGGACGTAATACAAAGCCACTATCTGTATTCAACAGTTCCTGTTTGTACTGTAAACATGGATGTACAGACAACAATCACCTGGATTACTTTGGGACTGACACATGTTTGAATCTGATGACGTCAAGAGTAGATTTGATTTATTCTGAATGGACATTGTGTGGAGCTTTTTTCCTATCTTTATTCAAGAACGTGGTCTTTCAATTTGAGAGCGTGACTTATCGATTTCACCGTCACATTTTAATGCTTTCCATCAAAATTATGTCCTTGCTCTCAAACAGCCCCTGCTTGTGCTTAGATTTGCTCTGCTTCTGCTCCAACTGTACTGCACTCAGATATATTGTTGCTTGCACAGACACGCAACGAGGAAGGGATCATTTCATTGGTCAACACTAAACCAGGCATTCTATTGGTTAAGAGTTTGTCAGTTTATTGCACAAAAATCCACAGAAATCTGAGAGCAGATGTTTCACAACTGCACAGGAGCAGTCTGGTTTTGAGAACAGGCGTACAGTCTGAACAGGCAGAGCAAATGTAAGCGCAAGCAGGGGCTGTTTGAGTGCAAGGACAGGTTTTAAGGGAAAGCATCACAAAATCTGAACCTGTAATCAACAAGTTATGCTCTCACATTGAAGGACCACGCTCTTGAACGAAGAAAGGAAGAAAGCTCCATAGCACTGTCTACACACCGATGTCCCTTAAAGGAGCAACTTTTGCTGATTCTGAGATTACTGCAGAAACAGTAGTACCTCTGTTAAGTGTGCATGAATTGTTCATATCCCAAACATATTCAGTTACATCCCTAATATACATACATAAGGCCAAAAATATTTTTTAACCAGCTGAAATCATCCATGTTAAATCACACAGCAGCAAATTCCTCAATCATTGAACTTCAGGAGCATGTTGGATGCGATTGGCTCTGCCCAGTCAGTGTGTCCAGCAGGGACAGTTTAAAATAGGTAGGGATCAAAAATCACAATATCTTAAAGAAGGCCGACAGCCAGTGCGGTGAGTGAATATTAGGAATTGATCTGCCAAATACAGATTTCATCCGCATTTGATGCTGTGACCAAGTCAATAATATTTTCAGAATAATTCCAAAGGAGATAAGGAAGGAACACAAACCCTAAAGAATTACTAGCATAGAGCCATATTGGGGCTGATTTCCAGTCCTGCAGTGCAGGCAGACAAGCAGAGGTGGAAGTCCCTCTCCGGATCATCTCTTCTCTATATCTTACACTTGATATGCATTCATTTCGGGGCAATGCCAAAGCCAGAGACAAAACACTAAATGGTTTCAGAAAGACAGATCGGTGGTAATCTGCTGATTCGTTTGTTTTCCATCGAGTACTAAGCCAGGCAACAATGGAGGACAGGGATTGGGTTTTGGTCAGGAACTGTGTGAGGTCGTGGGAATTGAAGTTGTATTCATGAGGTGAGAAAATGATTCTAAAAGAGAAAGGATTGACCGTTGAGATGAGACATCGTGGTGGCCATTCGTCCGATAAATCAAAAACAAACGTAAATCAAAGGGCCACTAACGCACCTTTAGTTTGTGGTTTACGCAGGATAAAGAATGGATTGTCCATACAGGATTCTGTTCCTCATTACTTATTTATTAACTAGTCAAAACAAACAAAAGAATAAAGGAACACCATAGGCCCACCCTGGTGCATGCTGGTCCTGTACCCTACTCCTGTATATAACCACAGGTGCCCACAGTGTTACCCAATTCATAAACTAACCAAAAAACTAACTATACTTAAATGACTATCAGAAGAAAAAGGTATCTTACTATATCCCAAAAATCTAACCTAAATAAGCAAACATCTAGAATAACTAAACAATACTATTTATGAATAAAATAACTAAATACTAAAATCAAACAAATAGCTCCTGCAAACATGCAAACAAGATGACTGGAGGCATGGGCGTAAACCTGCATCCAGAGGAGCTCGGTCAAGTCGTGTTGACTGATAATCGACAGATGGAAGAGCGACCAAAAACCAAAGAGTCAAAGGAGAGAAAACATGTTGTGCGAGATGAATGAAAAAAAGGTAGTGAACACATCGAGAGTCAGAGAGGTGGTCTGATCAGAAGATGCCCATGAAGACGTCCATGGGGAAGATTTAAAGATGTAATGGAGATGGAGGGGTGAGGGTGGTGGTGGTAGGGGTAGCGAGGGCTGTGTACAGGAGGAGGATGGGGGGGGGGGGGTTCCAGAGAGGGAGTTGCAAAGGGCAAGGACAGCAAGCGAGTGAAGACAGGCGGATTCAGGTATAGTTGGGAGCCAAGCGAGTGAAGGGAGGGGAGAGCGAGACAGCGAGAGGTTATACCTGGGAGGAAACCACTTCGGTGTAGCTGCTGAGAGTATCCTCAGAGAACTTAGCAAGCTGGGGTGAGAGAAGAGTCTAGTTAAAACACAGAGGGAGGCCTTCGCTGTGTCTCCTCTGTGTGTGTCTCCTCTGTGTGTGTGTGTGTGTGTGTTAGACTGATGTAGGTTTCAAGATCACTATAACTATTTCTGAATGGAAGGTGCCAGTAGCCAACATGGACAAACAGTCAGTAAATATTTGGACTCAGATATTTTCGTTCTTTCGTCTCAAACCCAAAGGATTTGAATGAAAGGGAAATGATCACAAAAACACAGTAAAAACTGGGCGGTAGTTGGCCACCGACACTGGTGATTTAACTAAACTAAGATATATTCCCCGTATTTAAATGGGGGCACTCCGAAACTTTACTCATCTTGAGGAGTGTTACTCAAAACGTGAAAACAGCTGTCCTCTAAGGATCTGGAAGAGCTTCATCAAGTCGGAGATTTGGGGTTTTGAGTTGAAATGCTTTGAATAAGGGTCCGAGACATCAAGAGGATCGTAGTATATTCCTTAGTGATGCTCTATAAGGCCTGTATTGCACACTGCATCAATATTTGCTGGTTTTGGGGGCAGTCTGGTCTTCAGTAAATTGAATGGATCCTGTAGTAAACTGAAGTCAAGTGACTGACTTGGGCTGTCAGGTCTGCTCCTAAAGACTTCTTGGTAGATTTGTCTATCAGTATAGGATCATTGGGCATGCAGGAAGTGACATAAGAACACGTTTCCCCTTATTTTTGTTTGTATCCATGATTTGTTCTTATTCTGTGAGTACCCTTTGAATTGTGGGATTCAACGTTTTCTTCTTTATGTTCTTCTCTCAGTGTGTTGATTTGGAATGAGCAATGAGTCCGAGAGACTGATTAAGACCGACTGTCACATTTACAAATGTAATGTTTATTGTGCTATTCATTATCATGCTGTTTTATAGCATACCGTAAGAGTAGGGCTGCATAAGTTAAGTACAATTTGATTTGTATTTGGCTTCTTGCAGATGCACCGTGAATAAGGACCAGTCTAATGTTGATGCAAAGTTTTGGACATTAGCAGGAATGTAGCACAACATTGAAGTGAAAGCAGTGCTCTGTTCGTTCAAATGTCAAGGTGCAAAAAAAAATAGTTTGTCCCTTAAAATAATCAAATAATCATGATAAATAATCGTGTACTGTTGGCACCGACCTTCTAAAATCAAACGAGGACATCAGTCTAACCCCACAGTGTGTGTGTGTGTGTGTGTGTGTGTGTGTGTGTGTGTGTATGCGTGTAGATATTAGTTAGAACACACATCCTCCATGTTAGAAACTAAAGCGGCCTTTTCTGTCAGTGCACACATTTGTAACTTTGGTTGTTTGTGTGTGTGTCCCTCACCAGACCAGCTGGCGATGCGCGGCTGAACTCGGCGAGCACCCTGGCCTCTCCAAAGGCATTCAGCAGCACCCACATGACAGGGAAGAGCAAGGGCAGGATGGGCAGAACACCCATTAACTGAAAATACATTTCACACACTTACTCGTCTGTATAATTCAAATATCAGCTGGTTGACTGTGTCCATACACACATTACTAATGTAAACCAAGACAAGTACAGACTCCAGTCTTTGTAAGTCGCACTTTCATAGTTTTGAATGATTGTACCTGAAGTTGAAAGAAATTGTAGCAGGGTGGGGTGAGGCTGGGTGCATCACAAAAATAGCGAACAGTGTTCACTACCAGGAATGCCACCTAGAGGGAGAGATCATTAAGATACCAGGTGAGGACATTACACCTGGTTTTAAGTAGAGAAGAAGGGATTCCGAATACATTGCAGAGTCAATTAAGAAACTCTTATCTTCATTGCTCACCAGAACAACGGGACAGACTAACTTGGTGATAACCAACTGCACTGTGAACCTCTCATTATCTAGCACTGTGATCGGTCGAGCCAACGCCAACTCCAAACTGTTCCTGTTAGTAGAAAAGAAGACAAGGGAAGAAAACATTATTTTTATTAAAGTTAAATACACTATTTGGTTTTCTGTCATCCTCATAAGGAACTGACAACATCTAGGTGTTGCTGTCGAGTGCCTTAACTCTAGTAAAAGAACTAGAGACTCACTTTTAACCAGAAGAAAAAATGTTTTCATTTTATGGAATCATGAAGCATCCTGTATTTGCATTTCATATATATGAAATATATTGAGATATTATGGAGATTGTGTTATCTTTGTACACCCTGTGTGCAAACCACAAGCCAAACTAACTTTAATGATGTGCGGCAGTCGTTGTATTTAGGAGACATTGGCGATTGCAAAAGACAGCAATTAATAAGAGGAGCATGGAATTTTTTTATTTTTTAAATCACTTGCCTCTTATAAATAACTTAATGAATAAAAGCCATACAAACCATTTCCGGTTCCCTACCTGACTATGTCCAGTACTGGAGTGCGGACCACTCTGAAGAGACGGTGTTGCTGGGGGCTCTGTGGGCCTCTCTTCTCATCGGCCCGTGGGGAAGGAGGAGGGGAGAATGGGGGGAATAAATCTCCTGGCTCCAACACAATGTGCTCATCATCCTGAGGAGACATGAACAGATTACGCTGGTCACAAGATCTATTCTTAGTGTATTCTGTACCAACGGATCAACGGTCCACACCAGCACTGAGTTCTTTGGAGGGTTTTCGGTAGGGGTGGGGAAAAAAATCGATACAGCATAGTATCGCGATATTTTGCGTGGCGATATTGTATCGATACACGGATGCCAACTATCGATCTTTTATTATATAAACTATTAAAAAAAAAAAAATTACTAGAAAAATCAAATCAATTGCTTTTTCAGTCCACTAGATGGTGCAGAGTTGTTTTCTGGTGAGGTCAAGAAAGGTCCCCGGGTCAGCGTGATTGGTAGGAAGTTGGTCAAAACAAAGATAGAGACATCTGGCCTCACAACGGGGTTAAATCTGCCAACAGTAGCCAGGCTCATGGGGAGAGTGCAGCGCATAACTGTCTCTCTGCCCTTGACGTCCACGCATCGCAAGTTATACTGAGTTATATAACTCTTATATCCTACTTATATAAGTTATAGTTCATATACTGAGTCCACACGTTTGCATTTAGTTAAGTTGGACTATGTAGTAATGCATTCATTTTGTCAGGTTCATGCAACATTTATGACATTGTTGGTCAGTCTGTCTGCTTGACAGTCCTATTTTGCTGCAATAAAAATGATTGAAGTGAGATGAACAGACTGAAAACTTTATCTTATTAGATAAAACATGTTGACACAGTTTTCCTTTGGGGACATAATTTGAAGTTGAAAAAAGTAATAAATGGCAATATAGGCCTATGTTATCGCAATACTCAGAATATCTCAGTATCGTGATAATATCACAGTATCGTGATAATATCGTATCGCGGGATCTCTGGTGATTCCCACCCCTAGTTTTCGGATAACAGTGCTTTGGGCGGCTCTGAGAGTGCTTCTATCCGTACTAACATCTGTTAAAGCCAAGTCATACTTCAGTACGAGACTTGCCACAAAACAAGCTTTCAGGTGCATTACTTACAGGTATTTGAGATGTTCTGTTCAATATTATGAATAATTATACTATATTATTTAATATTTCCATTGAAACATTACATGAAATGGCCCAAAGTGCTGCCTAACTGAATTATTTGAATGGTGCGTGGTAGTTACAGGATTTGCAGTTTCGGGTCGGGCTGTGGATCTTGTGAAACTGGATGTCACTTGTTTGAATCCTACTTAATGGACAGGGACTATTTTGTGTTTATAGGTAATTACAAATCTAAGCAAACAAATGACATGTGGAGTTCCCCAAGGCTCCATTCTGGCTCCTCATCTGTTTAACATCTACATCAGAGGTAGCCAACATGGTCCACATGAGTCGCCTGCAAGGCATGTTCTAAAAATAGCACAAGTCACCATGGAGCTCCGTCTAAATATTTTAGTTGCTGTTCATTTTTAATCCAAAACGCTTGCATTATTGTAGATTTTAAAATGACAATATTTCTTGTCATAAGAGAGTCGGGTACCCAGAGGCGCACGGCGGACAGCCAGGAAGAGGCTGCCGTACCGCACTAGGTTTTCAGGTTCCGAATGCCGGGCGCTTCCCGTTGGCGGGGGTAAAGGCGAGGCAACGCAATCCGACCGAAAAGCGCCAGACTAGAGGTTTGAACGCGGGCGCCCGAAGATACTCGCGCACCTCGGAGGGTTGGATCCCCCCCCCCCCCCGGCTATAGACGAGACTTTTTACTAGTTTCTTCATGGAGAAAAAGGTACCATTACAAATGGTGGTGACAACAGACGGGGCTCCCGCCATGACGGGCCGGCATGCAGGCTTCATTGCGCAATGTAAAGGTGACCCAGACTTCCCAAAATGTCTACATTACCACTGCATCATTCACCAGCAGGCGCTATGTGCAAAAGTAACCGGCTTTGATCATGTGATGACTCCTGTCGTGAATATCATAAATGTCATCCGCTCCAAAGCCAAACACAGGATATTCATAACTGATGATTTGTATAAACATGGGACAGAGTTGATTTGTTGATCATGATTTGTTCAAAACTATTACAAAAGTGGTGGTTAGTACAAACGAGACATGATTTGAAGATATGACAGTTAATGATTTCATAAAAAATGTTAGAAGTGATAATTTTTACAAAAATATAACAGGTGTGATTTTGAACTAAATGCTACAAATGTGCTTATTCATACAAAACTGTCAAGAAAGATATTTACTAAAATATCAGAGATGTGATACCTCTGACTTTCAAATGTTGAAACAAGAACAGAAATAAATGTTTAAATATATCTGTGTTTCCCACCATCATGTTGTGGAAATCATTGTTAATAATGATGAGGAATAATTAACATTGACATGTGATCAGACAGTCTCTTCACACATATTATTATTATTAAAAGTTATCTGTGCAACTTTGTTATTCAGGAAGTTTGTATCAAACAAGTAGCCCTTCGTACTACTCGGTACCCTCTGAAATGCTATGGTACAGAAAAAAAACGTTCAAATGTTCCCCTCTCCTCCATATCAGTATGTGATCAGCTTCATCCCACACAATGAGGCCCGTCTGTTTCATTATTAACCAACGTCAATGCGGCTATACAGCAAACACCACATCCTGCTGCAGGGCTTCATATGAACCCAGCATGGTTTCAGTGCCAAAGACAGTGGTTGAACACCATGTTCACCATTGAAAATTGCACTTGTATAGAGATCTGTGATGATGATATAGACTGTGTTGTGTGAACAAATAAACATTAACCGATTCTGGGTCAGTGGAAACTTTCTATTATCTATGTACCACTTCGGGCAGGATGAATGCATTTACGTGCTAGCAGGACCCAGAATAGTGAGTTTTTTCTGCCCTCCAGTCTGTTAGAAGCTGTGACGTCGGCTGTAGGACCTCAGTACAGCGTCGTGAGTGGTGTGTGTTAGTGTGATAGTATTGGACCAATAACAAAACATGGATTTCTGTACCAGTTCTGGTATTTGGTAACTTAAAATTCAAAAAGAACATCTAGAGTAAATAACTGATACCTTTGAATTTCTTATTTCCCAAGAGATATATTTATATTTCATGAATCAAAGTTCAGCTCGGTCTAACAAAGGGTCATGCCGGTATACACTTCTGGATTGAGAAAAACTTCAAGTGAAATATAAATTAAGGGAGGTTGAATAAAAGGTGTATTAAAAAAAAAAAAAAAAAGGTATAAAAATATCAGTATTCAAGCTAATTTCAATATGACCAGAGGTGTATTGACAATGTGCAAGAGGAGCTTGTGAGTAGCTGCAGTGGAATCATTTATATTAATCCAACACAAAACATTCTGCACATTTTACCACTGCATCTCAATACACGTGTGCGTGTGTGTGTGTGTGTGTCTACGCACAGGCTGACCTTAATGCCTCTGAGGGAGACAAATGCCTCCTGGCCGGGTCTCAGAGCAATGACGTCTCCTTCCACAAGCAGACTGATGGGAAGGTTAACCAACTGGGAGTCCCGGTAGGTCCAGTGAAGGGACCACGATGTGGACGACGGTGTGTACAGATCCGGGTACAGAGATGGAGACCAGCGCGCTTCACCCACGCACCCCGACAGGTAGTCTGGAGTGACAGGCATAGACAGTGAGTAAGCCGTTAGAGGGAGGAATTCATTCACTCATTTATAAACCCATGGACTTTTAAAGGCTGTATGCGCTCCAACAAGATTTATGTTCAAAACTGTCTGCACATTCAAAACATATCCCACATCTGTGTTCTCTAAGGAAAAAAAAAAAAAAAGAAATATTACAAGAATAAAGTCGTAATTTAATGAGAATGAATTCATAGCATAATATAAACAAAAATTATTTTATTGCATCACAGAGAGGACACGTTTACTTTAAGTGAAAAACAAAACAAACATTCTAAGTAAGATAATCATAAAAGGTCCCCAAAGAATAAAAAAAAGCAACATTGTTATTAATTCTTAAATATTAAGGCTCCATTTTTCCCTTCTCTACATGAGAGTGAGCTAGACAGCAGTCCCTCGTGAGGATATTCACAATCATCCTGATGGAAAATCACCAGATCAACTTATTGAGTCATACTTATTGACTTATGTTTTCTATTGCGATCCACGATAAAATCCTACATCGTCCCATCCCTAATCATGATTACATCCACTAATGATTATTTTGGACGGCGGTGTGGTACTAAATAAATGAATAATACAAGAGTAGTTGTAAACGTATACAGTACAGTTAAATGAAGAAGAGAAGCGCAACAGATAAACGGGGATCATCTTGTGCAGGAAACACAAACGCCATGATTCAAGTCAACAAGCCCGACTCACCGCTGAGCTGTGCGATGATGCCGTTGAGGCGGCGGACCATCTCGCTCCTCTTCAGCCGCTCCTGACGTCCAACCAGCAGCAGGTTCAGCACGAAGAGAAGAAGGAGGGCTGCAGCGTTCACCAGCTCGATACCAGAGCTGTGGAGGAGCAAATTAAATGTGACCAATTACAAAGAAATTCAAGAATTCACTCTTCAGCAGACTTAGAGACACATTTCTAAATTATCTTAAAAATGTATCTCATATAAAAATGAAATAATGTGAACAGATATTTCCTTTCACTCAGCAAATATATCCACATTAAAACCAAATATTGCCATTTTAAATGGTCAGTCAGTTTTGATGAGTTAGTAAACGTATTCAATGAAACTGTATTAGACAGAAAGGAGAACAGTCCAGGCTAGTTCGCTTGACACACAGCAAGAATGACAGCTGGGGTTTCTGTCGCTGCCGATTCATCACAACTTCTCACTTCTCTTTTCGTGTGAATGATACAGTGGGCAAGTAGATGAGCAGCACTGAGACAGACACAGAGAACTCCTTGGCTTGTTCTTTCTGTTTGGCATCAGAATTTAATAAATGGCACTGAATGAATTCCAAGACTTTCAGATTTTGTCTAAGCCTAGATGTTCCTGAAAAGAACTGCTCCAACGATGGTGGTGCAACTGCCTCAGACACGCTGTTGGTGGTGGGGAAATTACGGACAGGGCAATGCCTTCTTCACCTAAGCATTGGAAAACAGATCTTATTAACGCTGAGCGCACAATATCATGGGCCGTGGTCGCACTTGTCTTTTTCACTGCAACTGTTGTGATCGAACGCGCCAGATCCAAACGCGGCTGTGTCTGCGTATGCTTGTCCTCACTTCAATGTGATCTGCCTGAAAGTGCCGGATAGTGATCGAGTACATTTTGTGGTCAAAGAGCAGCTGTGCAAAGGTGGACACATTTTATTTCATATAAATCCTTCACAATAAAAGTTATTTTTGCAGCTTACTCTTCCTCCCTGCAGTATTAGTAAACTTGTTAATATTGAAGAAAAGCCGTCAACAAAGCTCTATTTTGGTGTCAAACATTTTCCTATAAATTCTTCACAATAAAAGTTCCCCGTTACATTGTTATTTAAAAGCTTTTATTTTGAAGCAGCAAAATCAGGAGACGTCGGGTTTTCATCAGCGTTCAAACAGCAGTCTGGTTCTCCTCCTCTCCTCCCTTTGCTCTGCTCTGCTCTGCTCTGGAGAGAAACTCCCGAGTGGGAGGAAGATGATGAGACATACGTTTGATAGCCCACCTTGGCATGCGGTCTGGCTCATCGCACCTCAGATCGAACAGACTTGACAGTTAATGCGTCCTGGCCCGATTCGGATCACAAAAATGGCATTGAAAAGACAAAAGTGTAACCGCAGCGACAGATGTTTCAGAACAGGACGGTTCAGCTGAAAGAGGACCACCTACCTGCCCCTTGGCTGGCTGCCGTGGCAACAGAGGAGTCCCAGCACCACCAGCAGAGTGAGGGCAGCTCCCGGCCAATGGAGACAGGAGTGACGGTTGCCATGGTAAAGGAAGCTATTCACGCAGTGTTCCTATGAAAACATGAGCAAAACAATACGCAGTGGGTTATGTAAGGCACTCAACAAGTGACGGCTATATTTAAAGGATGATCGAGGAACAGTGTTGCCATAGTGGATTGAATCGAGGCCGTGTGGAAAACTTTATGTTTTCACACTCATGAGGTCAAAACATCCTCACGTGATGTCATGATGATGAAACTAACTTTGCTGATTTGGGTTTAGATTTATTCATCAGATTATTTTAAGATCTGGGTAAAGGTTTAAGTTCAGGGAGTGACTGTACTTAACGATGTGAATGTAGAAGCGTGTATGTGCACCTGTGCAGAGGATCGCCTGCGCTCAGGCCTTTGATGCTGCTCCAGCAGGCCGCTGAGCTGGTCCCGCAGCTTTGCCAGAGCCTGGCCAGTGGACAGGCCCAGAGTCACAGCGTCCTCCTCCTGCAGGGACACAGAGGACAGCCCTTTCAGTATCAAAACTCACCCATCCAGAAAACAAGAGGCATGAAAGATTTGGCAAAATACAATAAACCGGATTTGAAGACTTGGGCCCAATGCCAAAGTCCCCCTTAAGGTCTTGAACCCTGAACCCTGAGGGACTTATCTGACGTCCCCTGTTAAATGGTCGAGTGTGAGAGACTGTAAGGGCTTGAAATGGTGTGAATACGAATGAGACATATCAGCTATGTTGACAACGTCATATCATGTTATGTACAATCGTGGGTATTTTAGATTTTTTACTGCCGGATTTGAACGTCTTCCAAGTTCTTTGCTCACGAGATGAGTTATTTGTCAAATAATCTATTTACTCGTTTTTGTCAAAACAGCTTCAATAACAAAATGAAAAGAAATGTGTATTATAAGCTCTGCTTGCAGTTTTTATGTTCCAGCTTTCATCCCTAATGTTTATCTGTAAATGTAATATTCCAGGCTCAAAACCCATGTGCCGTCCTCTTTATTTTACTTCTCCATGCTTCCACTGGTAACCCCGTGATTAATGTCACATTGCTATGAATTGTGGGTAATTCCCTCAGGCAAGGCCTGTAGAAATGCAGACTTATGGAGAGTGTTCATAAAAGGCTCAAAATGTCTGTGAGAGAGCCCTCAGACACTCGACCATGAGACAGCCCTAAACCTGGACTTTGGGGGAGCGAGCGTCAAAGTTTGTGAGTGTGGAGATTTGGATTGAGCCTTGATATCAGATTATGTCTTTGAATAATTAAATAATGATAATTTCCCCAAAATGTTCACAGCATTACTCTATGACCTGGGACACTGGCACAAGCCATTCTTGCATAACGGGCTGCCCTATTATACAAGAATCAAAAATATGATTATGTTGGTCAATGTTGAGATAATTTAACATGATCACTCACTTTCTTACAGTTTAAATTTAATCATAAACCCATTGGTTGTATACTGTAGATATGAATGGCGATGACACAGATAAAAAAGACAAACCCACAAGGCGTGGTAAACAAGACTGGGTCCGGGGGTGCTGGTTCATCCCTAACCCACCGAGCAGGGCAAAAGCGCACCATCATTGCAAAGCGGAACGCAGCACAATAATCTTGATTATCTTGTTTTCATAATCATTTGAAGGCAAAAATCAGAATTGAATAAAATTGGATTAATCGCCCAGTCATAGACAGCGGTGTGTATTCAGGGTTTCTGCAGGGTTCACCAACATTTTTACTGTTCAGAAACTAATAAACGCTTTAGGGCGGACCTTTTTACTATTTTGGATTTGGTGTGGTCTGAAGCCTTTTTCCAAGTTTTCTCTGAGTGGAGGCCCACAGTCTCAGATTTGAAAAGCTCTTAACTAGTGGACTAGTGGTGGAGGGACCACCAACCCAGGAGCAGACGAGGCAGAGCTCCACTCTGCTGGAGCAGCCTCGGGCCACATCTGGACTACGGTGTCTTGCAGCGGTCCGACTTGCTGCTGCAGTCCGCTCACCCGGGACTGGATCCCAATATGTGCGACTGACTGTTGCGCACCTCGTTGGACTGACAGACTCCCAGTGTCACATAACGTTCATCAAAAGGTTCATCAAAGCCTGTGTTTAATGCTTAATTTTCCGTTGAACATAAGAAAGTACATATAATAAGTAGCCACCTAAAGTAAAATCAAATGACGCCCATAGTTTGTTTCCCCCCCTGTCCCCTCCAATTTTTTCCGTCACCAGCATCCACTGGTATTTCATTTTAGCGCTGCCTGCGGCGCATTGTTTCGCACAGCCCCTCCTTACCCTGCTCTGTTTATTTCTACAATTTCAACATAGACTTGTCGTTCAGGGGGAGGAGAAAAGGGGATGCGACACCTGGACGTGTCAGTAGTGAATTTCAGTGGCGGCCCGTGCATTTTATACCTGGGCCTTCACTGCTGTCCTGCAGCTGAAATACCACCTTATAACCACATGATGGCGCCACAGCTATTCATTTTTAAGGCTGTAACTATGTACATCTTCATATTAAACCGTTCTGTACGAGTCGTTTGAATAATGCTAGAGCATTTAGAAAATGCAAAAGCCTAAATTCAGGAAAATATAATGTTCTCAGCTGGTCTGGCTGTGGGATCCGCCATCATTCCTTAATGACAAGCCGCGACCCAAAGAGATTATCATAGGATTTTACTTTCACAACTTCAACGTTGAACGTACTGCTCTGAAATGTCTTTCCTCGTCTCAGCCCCCTGTGTCATGGTGTGTGGTACATCTCACTGGAGTCAGAATGCCCATATTTAATTGGCTGAGCTGCATCACGTGATGTGATTCACTACCCGGCAGCCTCTGCTGTTAAGTTTCGTTTCACGATAGTCACGTGCTCGCCCACTGACCAATCACAGCACACTCTGCACCTTGCGGCAGAGCTACACATGGACACTGAGCGGCATGTAATGCTGACGTCATTATAGGCCGGCTAGCAGGTGCTGACATGTCAAAGAATACGCCCAACATGTCAAACTAAAGATCTGATTGGTTGAAGACTATGACAATCAACAATATCGTCCCCATTCACTTAAACTGCACTGGATGCACTCCTGAGTGTGCAGGCCTGGGTCTCTGTTCTTACCTAGAGACACAGAGGTGAAATCTGATTGGATAAAAGCTCTACTTAAAACAAGCTGCACTGGAAGCAGAGCAACTGAGGAAGACAGTAGCTGTGCAATGAGAAAATAAGATAATGGGTAAAATATTTTTATAAATTACAATACATGTAGTGTATTTAAGAAAAATGATTAAATTATAAAATAGATATAGCTTTGTGATTCTGTTTAGGCCAGCAGAGAAGGCCTTGCAGGCCCGCCACTGGTGAGTTTACTGCGTCTTTTCTGACATTTCAGAGACGCTGGACGCTTACCTAGCAACATCCCATCAAAGAAACACAGCAATGCACTAGGGCTGGGCGGTATGACCAAAAATGCATATCACGGTATTTTGTAAGATTCTGGCGGTTTCACGGTATATCCCGTATTTTTTTTTTCATGTTAAAGGATTAATTAATTAATGCTGAAAAGAAACTTAAAGAAACTTTAAAGAAATTTAAAGAAGAAGAAGCCCCTCCATGTACAGCTTCTTATCACCGTCTACCAATGTACATTTATAAAAAATACCACACATATTACGGTAATCAGCATTGCATACGTGTCTGACCTAAATACCTTTTGTTGTTCAGTCTTTGTTCATCCTGCATCGCTCTTTTCTGTTCTTTAATGTAACGTTACTGAAGTCCCAGCTGTTAGCAGACTGTTGTTAGCGAGCTTTACCCAGCATGCAGTTCGGCGGGGAAATTTTATAAATGTACAATTATTAGTGCTACAAATTGTTTATCTGTCACAAACTGTTGTGTCGTGGTGTTTTGCCCTGTTAAAGAGCGTTAGTTGTGGGTTGTTAATTGTTGTTATAAAGTTATGACCATGACTAGGGTTCCCTCTCAATACAGATAAGGCAACTAGCTCCGACCGTAGCGCTCCCAGCGGCGAACAATATATTTTGCTGCCTGTTGAAGAGCGACAGAAGTTGTTCCGGCTGTATGACCGTATATGAAAAACTCGTATCATACGGGAAATTAAAACCGGTATACCGGTTGAACCGGTATATCGCCCAGCCCTACAATGCACCAAAAAAGACAGGGAAGAAAAAGTTTACAATGTTTACTGAGGTAATGAATCAAGAGAGAAGTAGTCATTTTCTCATAGACTGCTATACAATCAGAGGAGTCGCCCCCTGATGGCCAGTAGAGAGAATGCAGGTTGTAAGACACTTCCGCATCGGCTTCACTCGGCAGAACCGGAGGTTGCCCGCTGAATAAAACAATGAGCAGCTAATCCTCACATTGAAAAGTTGAACCCACAGAGTGTTTTGCATATTTTCCTTCCTTCCCTAAATGGCTCTAAATATTAAATCAGTTATCAAAAATCACATTCTATTACTTTTCCAACGATTGACAAATTGATTAATCAAGCGACACTGATGTCATTGCCTTCACAATCCTCTATACTGCGTAAAAAAAGAAGAGGATGTGTTAATAATAGAGAAAGGGAAACAGAGCCACATCTAATGTTGGCGGGAAAGCGACCTCTTCCCACTCTGCATGTCACTGTGAGGATGTGCGTGTTTCTGCAAAGGCCTGCGCATATGCCAACAGTAAGACAAACTCAAATATGAAAACTCACACAGGCACACATACACACAGGGTTCAGCTTTCAAGCTCTGCATCCCACACAGGCGAGCTATAAATATCTTTTCCCCAGAGGAACAAAGCCTCGACAGAAATCCTCCAGACAGACGCAAATACGCAGAGACTCGAAGAGCCCCAACGGCCTGAGAAGAACTGGGCATGCCCCTAACCTGGGAAGGATCTAGATTAACCTTGGATGCTCACCAACAAATCAGGAGCATTCTACCGACATGCAAACACTAATACTGACGCTACCAGACTTGCCATGAGTACAGTGCATCTGACTGACACTGTCGCTCACCCAAACAGGGAAATCAACAAGTCTTTCTGCGTTTCTTTAGCCTTCGCCGACGAGAATGTGTTCAAGCTACACGGAAACGAGCAAGACAACTTACACTGCTCTTCTTCCTGAGGAAGATCCCTTCTCCCATTCTCAACACCATGACGGCCCTGCTCTGCTCCGCTCCACTGAAATCTGCATCACTGCTGCTGGGCTACGAGGGGCAATCTCCAGCGTCTGCCGTGCTTACGTGACGAGAATCGTTGCCGTTTCAGAGACTAGTTCTCGAGGCGTGAACGAGGTCCTGACTGGATGCCGCACGTGTCTGCGGTCGGGAGAGAGCTGGAGATGCTGCAAGACCTCACCCTGATTTCCCTCGTCACCGGGGCCGCAGACTACGAGAGCCCAGCATCGGTGCACGCTGCCAGCTGGGCTCTGATTCAAAAGTCTGGGTGCCTCTCTGGCATCGACCGAGCCTCGCTCAGTTTAACTCAGTTCAGCAGCTGGCTGGGATACTAAGCAGCAAAACCCCGACTACAGAGGGGGGGGGGGAGGCCAGACATAGTGTGCTTGTGTGTGTGTGTGTGTGGTGGGGCTGAGGGGGGGGGGGGGGGGCGTGTTTTGTGTGTGGAACGCAA